GATTGACTTATTTGACTATTCGAAACATCACAGGTAGAAAACTAAACTAATCCCTGTGCTTGTCTTGTTCGTTTTGCAGGGCAGTGTGTTGTGCAGTGGTAGCTGTACTTATAGCACTAGTAGCTTCAAGTCCAACTATGGGATGGAGTGGAAGAAGTTTAAGTCTACTAGATCCGTCAGTGCTGTGTTTGCAACCTTTTTTTATCATTCAAATCCTTCAAAAAAAAAAAAAATATTAGTAAAATATTTTTTATTATGTTTGAGATGGTTGTCAGTTCTTCAATTTGATAGTAACTATGGATATATCTATTAGCTAAAAGAAGCGTCTTTAAGTTTACCTTTATATGTCATTTTGCAAATATTTTATTGTTATGATTTGGCACCAATCCTAAATACTTAAAATTGTGCGTGGTGTGACAGTACTTATGCAAGCAAGTATATACCAATCATTGCTAGTGTTAGTGAGCATCAGCCTCCTACCTGGCCTTCTTATTTTATGGACATCAATGTCTTGGCATTCTTGGTTCCAGCTGGCATTATTGTGAGTTTTTTTCTAGATTCCCCCCCCCCCCCCCCCCCCCCCCCCCCCACACACACATTTTCTTGCAGTATTCTATGTAAACTAAGTCATGCTGGTGTGTACCTGCTGTAGGCATGCTTTTCACCCCTATCTGATGCAAGCTCTTTTGTGGTACTTTATATTGTTATGTCGGTATATTTTTCTGGAGTCATGGTAAGAAAAATCTTGGGACTGTAGTTTTTCCACCGTTACATTTTTTTATTATTTTATTGAAGACATAATCTTGTCAAATATCAGGTTCGCTTGATGCTTGTACTTGCACCAGCAGCATGCATCTTGTCTGGGATCGCTCTTTCCCAAGCTTTTGATGTTTTCACAAGATCAATTAAGTTTCAGTTACCCAGACTATCAGATCATTCTCATGTTAATGTAAGCATTTGTTCTTTAATCATCACCAGAATTGGCATTTCTTTACATTCTTCTAGTCACTTCATGAGTTTGACTTCTTTAAATTGTGCTTTTGAGACTATCAAGGCAGGGGATGCCAGTTCTGAAACTGTTGTGCCAAATGATACAGTGAAGACTGATAAAAGCGAGGACACATCAAAGGAACGGACCTCGAGAAAGAGCAAGAAGAAGGATAAGGAACCCGTGGAAAAGCCTCTTAGCAAGTCACAAATTAAGAAAAGGCTTTTGGTTTTACCTCTAGAAGCATCCATCATTGCTATTCTCTTACTTGTGTTGCTAGGTGCATTCTATGTGGTAATTTTCAAAGCATGATATCATTCATTGGAAGTTTAATAGGTTTTTAAACCATTACAGCTTTCAGATTATCTACCAATCATACAAAGTAGATAATTTGTTTAATACAAGTTTTTGTTTTTCCCCACTAGGAGTTTGCAATCCATATTTTCCTTTCTATTCAACTCATATGTTTCATATGTATTACTTTGCAATTTACTTTCTCTTTTAAATGAATCCCTGGTCTCTTGCTAAAAAATTTATGATTCAGCTGGTCGATACTGAATTAGAAGTGTCATGTCTTCTTCTACTGGTCTTGTTTTTTATCTTGCTGAACAAGAGTGCCCTTTCATGCTACTGTGTTAGAATAAAGAAAGTTTTTTTAATGTTTACAGTGACTCACTATCTTGATCTCTCTTGTAGGTTCACAGTGTGTGGGCAGCAGCAGAAGCTTATTCAGCCCCCTCTATTGTTCTAACATCATATTCAAATGATGGACTTCATGTTTTTGATGATTTTAGAGAGGCTTATGCTTGGTTGAGTCATAATACAGAAGTCGATGATAAAGTAAGGTTCATGGCATTTCCTTATTTTTCTGCTCAAATGGTTGAGTGTGCTTGTGTACAATATTTTTTACCCATGCTGCAAACATTTTGGAATAAACTTTCTATTTGCTTTTTCTCTTACAAGTCCAAACAACTGCCGTGGCTAACCAAACTGTCATTGTAGGTGGCATCTTGGTGGGATTATGGATACCAAACAACTGCCATGGCTAACCGAACTGTCATTGTTGACAATAATACCTGGAACAACACACATATTGCTACTGTTGGTACTGCCATGTCTTCTCCAGAGAAGGCAGCTTGGGAAATTTTCCACTCCTTGGATGTCAAATATGTTCTTGTTGTATTTGGAGGTCAGCTTCTTTCTCTTTATTGATTTTATCCAAGTCACGCTGTTCTGATTTGTTGCTATACTTAATTTTAGGACTGGTTGGCTATCCCAGTGATGATATTAATAAGTTCCTGTGGATGGTTCGAATTGGAGGGGGTGTATTCCCGCACATAAGAGAACCAGATTATTTAGTAAGTTACAAGAGCTACCTTGGTTATTTTGGAAATCAGATACTACTCTAGTTCAATAATTATGTGGCTTATGACGTGTGTTAATTGCTCTTTTTTTACCCTTTTTGAACAGAGGGATGGTCAATATAGGATTGATTCTATGGCCACACCAACAATGCTAAACTCCCTCATGTATAAACTTTCATATTACAGGTCAGCGTTGCTGTAAAATTTGTAGTTTGAAAAATGCTCTGTTTTCAACTGTTAGGCTACTTAACTCCCCTACCCTGCTATTGCTCCAGATTTGTGGAGACAGATGGTAAAGCTTTTGACAGAGTAAGGCGGACAGAAATTGGGAAGAAATATTTCAAACTTACCCATTTTGAAGAGGTCAGATGGTTTTTTATTGAAACTCTCATGAACTTTGTCTGGTTCTCTGTATAATATATTATGATCCTGGAAATTAATTTTCAATGCATGGCATGATGAATTAGTTGCTGAACTAACCATACCATGGTATTCGTTCTACAGTGCCTAATATGGATAATTCGTATGATATGATTTCCTTATATATATATATATATATTATTGTTTAGATTGGCCTACATCTGTCAATGTTACCATGCGTTTATCTTTGGATAATTATCCCACATTGTTCCTTGATAGTCCACAATTATTACTGTGTTTGAGACTTTGAATTAACTTTGTATTTAGAAAAAGCTTTTAATCAAAAACAAACTTGTAGAGCTTTTGGGAAAACAAAATATTATTCCCAAAAGGGAAAACATACTCTATATGCTAATGCTAGCATATTCATTAGAAATATTGAATAGTCTATTTTATTTTACTTATAGTGGACTGTTTTTTTTTTCATCATATTTTTACCCATCCATGAACTGCGTAATGCTATTTTATTTCTTGATACTATATTTTGGTGTTTACTTGATTTGCCTATGCTCTTTTTGTACTGCATAACTTCAACTGATGATTTGGTCTCAAGTAGTGATTAACTTCTTCAAATAACAACTGGTATCATTGCTAACAATTAGTTTAGTTCTTGCTTTTGGAAATAATACAAGAGGATACAGAATTTAGATTTGGGATATAAACTTATTAGCTTTCTTAAAATTTGACGCCGTTCTATATTTTCTTGCCCCTTTTTCTTGTAGTTGACATTTATTGAATTTGGAATCATGGAAGTCTTACCAATAAATATATTATGGGTTTTATTTTTCTTACGTTGTCTCATGCAACACACAAAAAGTGAATGGGACCCACTAAAAAAGAAGAGAGAGAAAATAAAAAAGCGGGTCCCACCCACTTTTTGTGTGTTGTATGAGACAAACAACTTGTCTCATGCAACATAAGAAAAATAAAACCCATATATTATAGCAGCCTACTAAAAAAATAAAAATAAATTATAGCAACAATCATTCCTTTGATTTTTTTCTTTTCGGTATAGTCTTTTGAAATCGTTAATAGGGATTAAGCATTGCCGTACCTATTGTGGGCTTCTGATGTCTGTCGTGGCTTTTGATGCATTCAGGTGTTCACAACTCACCATTGGATGGTTCGGATATACAAGTTGAAACCTCCTAAAAACAGGATTCGAGGAAAGACTAAAAAATCAAAATCGGTACGTATATGATTCTTTTATATGCCTTAGATTCTTTCTTAATATTTGATCGGAAATCACCTAATCTAGCCATAACTGATCTCGTGTTCTCATGTTTGGCAGAAAGCAAGCTCGAAAACGACCTCGAAAAGAAAGGGACTAAAAAGGAACCCTTTTTAGTTTAGTTTTTCTTTATTAGTAGGTAAGCATAGTTCTTAGTCCGCGTTTCATGTATACATGTATACAACTAATACACGGGCCATGGGGAGATTTTGCTGGCATTATTAGTTACTCTCTCGAGTGTCGAATGATCAAACGAAAATTTTGGAATTATTTGTTTACCGACTGAATGGTTAAGTTAAGATCTCATTTTTGGGATTAAAATGCCCATCGGCAAAATGATTTCGTTGTTAATTTTCTGGCTATGTACGCATGGAATTTATCTATAGGATTAAAAATATTCAAGTACACCACCAAATAAAATAAAATATTGAAGTACTAAATTATTTTTTAAAAGGATAAGTATTTTTTTCTGTTAAATGAACATGAATAAACCTCGATGCTTCCGTGCGCTGTCGTAGCTGTTCTTACTTTCCATGTTATGTTGAGGCATGGTATAGCGGTGTTTGCTCCAAGGCTTAGCTCATTTTGCCCTCACTCGGGGGTAATTTGTTTGGGGTCTTTCTGGGGGTGAACCAGATTTTCCCTTCACCTCCAACAAAATACTCAGAAAACGGAGCGAAAGTGGATCGCATAACATTATCCACTTTTTGTAGATTATTAACGGTAAATTATAATGGCTTGCAATTTTTCAACACCTTTTCTGCGTAAATAATTGGTTTCTACCCGTTAAGGGATTAATTTGTTTAGTCTATAAATAATATGTTTATTCAAGTAACGCCTTTATGATTAACTAATTTGCGATAATAAATTCGTTCAGTTAATTTACATGGTCAAGCTCTAGTCATTTGTGAAAAACGAAACAACAGTGCTGCACCAATCAATAGACCAATTATTTTGAAATAAAATAAATAATAACTAAATATAGTACTTCTCTGTATTCCCATGTGGTCAGTAATTGCATTTTGACAGGAGCTGGAAACAGACGAACAAATTAGGAAGCTGATGAAAAACTCCTTGTACAAAGTTTAGTTTTGAACATTATTGGTGACAAAGTACCATATTCCCTAAAGTTAATCACCGTGTAAGAGTATTATGCATACCACCTTTTACTTCAATCATATCCTCACACACACCAGCAAGTTAGAGTTTCAAAACATACAAAATGAAGCTACTAAAAAATTTATATAGGTTGAAAAGGCGTACGAGAGAGAGGTATTACTCATCAATTTTTAGACTTTCGTAGGCAAGTTGTAATTTTTCTTAAGGAATTTAGCAGCTGCCTCATCATTCCTATAACACAGAACTCGTAGAAGGGTGTTTGGTTCTCTTGGGCTCCATTGATCTGCTGTTGGAGGAAACGGAAGCCTTGATTTGGCTGAAGAACCATACATTTCCATAGTAAGTTGACTGAATTGCTGAATTATGTGCTCAGTATCCGCATGAAACAAGGGAAGTACACCTCTTACAGTGGTAGAATGTTTTTCTATCAATTCAGCTGGCAATCCATCTCCATTGGACCAGAACAAATCAGTCAAAAACTTCAAATCTTCCTCTATTATTACAGAATCTTGCAAAGAGAAAGCACGTGATGGACCTCCAGCTAACAAAACCAACAGGAACCCATCAAAAGAAGCTTGCATTAGTTCAATAATCACACGTGTTCTAACTTTATCATGCACTGTTGATGATATGATCTCCAAGTATTGCTCAAGCTCTTGTAGAAAAGGCTCAATCCTTGTGGCTGAAACTTCTCCGACATATAGACCATCCCAAAGAACATGACAAAGATTGTGGAAAACGACTTTGTATGCTATACACTCACATAGTTGATGGATACTTTCCACTGCAGCAGCAGCAGAAAACTTGAACTTCAAGCTCATCCCATTTGTTATATCATCGTCGTTAGAGGATTTAGAACTGCTGAGATTGGCAACTATCCTCTTTTCCAAAACCCCTAACTCCATGCGAATACGCTGCATGGTGTTGACGCGAACACACATCTGGGGTATATCAAATGAGTTGTCTCCGTTTGTGGTTCCAACTTGGCCTTTCCTCCTCTGAGTCATTTGTGACTTTTCTTTTTTCCGGAATACACCATGAAATTTTGCTCTTGTTGAACACCTAGTCAATGCAGGCATAGTTGGGATGAAAGAGTTACGGTTCCCTGCAGAACATACAAAACGGAAAACCTGGTCACACAGGGATTGAATAACTCGTTTTGGTAAACCAAAATGCTATGCAGTAAATATATACCACAGCCAGATTTGGCTTTCAAAATGTATTGTTGGAGAGATTTGTCAAGACCAGACATCAATTCAGGTAGCAAAACAGCATGCATGGGTATAGGCAACAAAAAGAAAGCTTCCAGAGTGTCATCTATGAACCGTAAAACTTCAACAGCAGAAGGAGCATAGCCCTCTTTATTTGCCTTTGGATTCCATACCTATAGAAAAGGATGGTGAAGTTAAGAGTTATATTAAAACTTTTAAACTTGCCAACAACCATGTTTGTTTGTAGTAATAACAAAGCAATGGTAGTATCTTACAATAACAAAACAAACTTAAAAAAAAAGAAAAGAATACTATGTCAACTTGATTTAGATTATAAGCAACAAGATTGGGATTTTGGCATACCTCTTGTTGCAGTTTTCTGTCAATCCATTCCCCTAGTCTATCGACTCTGATCTTCATCCATGACTTAACCAGACTAGCAATTACTGCTTCAGCCTCGTAAGGTTGCATCTCCCTTATAATGGATTTTCCACCATCTTCACTGTCAACAGAATCTTCCACTGCTATCTGCACCAGATCTTTCTCCAGTTTGTCAGCAGCCAACAACACTTCTATAGCATTGGGTGTCAACTCAGTAACACCTTTGACATATTGCTTCAACTCATTTCCATAACACACATGAAGGGTAGCAACCGCAACACCAGCAGCAAGAGGATGCCATCTCTTCAGTTTGGAACTAAATATTGCCTTCTCGTTAATAGCCAGTTCGGTAATGTCTCGTGCAAGGACAGAAAGAGCAGGAAAGGCTTTATTCTGTTTTCTAGATGGATGCTTACTGGGGTCCAGTTTGTCCAATATCTGCCTTAAAAGAGATTAAAAAGAGTTAAGTCATACTGATGGCACCGACATCAGGTAATTTAGTTTGAACATGAAATCCCAAACGGAGAACGTTGTAAAATAAAAATAGCAGGACCAGAAAGAATTTTAAGCTTATAAATTATCCTTGCATATTACAGAAGTGGTTGAAAGGAGTCTTAAGCAAAACAGCTAACTTTATCCTATTTCAGTCAGTGGGATCAAAAGTATACCATATACAATTATGTCATAATTTATCATATGTCTATACCATATGAAAGAGAGTGGGAGTATTCATATTCAGGGAGCTTGAATAATGGAACTTGCCTGAGCGAAAACAGCACGCAATGATGATCTAATATAATTTTCAACTCTGGTGCAAGCTACATCAGTTTCTTTCCTCTTCCAATTGTTATCATGAGAGATATCCTCTGCCAAAATCTTTGCTGACAATACAGCTAGAGAAACAATGCTTTCCATTGATTCAATATTATCATTATGGAAAGTATCATGGTATGCAAGGAGCCTTTTCTCTGCCCAACTTAACATCAAACTCAATGTGGAGCTCAAAGTTTTTGAGTAAAAAGGATCTTTCATTGTCTTGGTATCTTTCTCAACTTCTGCTAGTAGATTACTGGATGCAAACAGCAGATCATTTTCCATTTGGCCAGTGGCAACATACCTTTGAAATAAGACCCAAGAGAAACAAATATTATGCAGCATCTCATTAATTCCAAGCATAACCCATGTCTTCTTGATGAGCTCTAAGACATCATCAACCTCTTCTATCACGGAATTTTCTGCATGAATATCAAAACAAGCTTCTAAAAGAGTTTGGTAGATCCAGAGGTTCAGTGGAAACCCATCAGCCCAGTGGCATGTCTCAGGAACAGACCCATCAGATGACCTGCAAGCAAGAGACATAACAGCACTCCGCAGGGTCTGCATTGATTCACTGCCTTTTCCAAGATCCATGGGTTTCTCAAGGGCTCCATGGATTATGCGCCGGAGGCGTTGTGCAGAAGTATCTGCCTTATCTAATGGAAGGTGAGGATACAAGAGGAGTCCTGCTTCAAGAAGCTTCAAATTTCTCCTCAGCCAAGCCTCATACTCTTGTTGACTGGGAAAATCTGAACTCTTAAACAGTTGTATTAGCTCTAGAGGAAGAACCACCGACTCCATGCGTCTTCCAAGCTATTTCATGAACAAAGACCTAGTAAGCTATCATTAGTGATTAAACAGATGTAAGGAGCCGTAAATACATATGCTGAAATTTTAAATTCTGGTCCATATATTTCAATCCCAATTACTCATATGAAGGAACGAAATGAAGTGTAACCTTTTCTAGCAGTAGGAAATATATCCCACTTAATGATCAACAAACAAGCAATAAACAAAAGTACTACATAACCAATGAAAGGCGAATAAAAAGTAGCCAAAAGGTGATGTTCATTAGCTACTTGTCTTTGTCCTTTTCTTTTAAAAAATTAATCATACAGTTTTAAGTTGTAATTGCAGTTGCAGAAACTGATGGGGACTGTGACAGCAAAAAAATTTCAAGTCTTCAATTACAAAACAATTTTAGTTTAAACAAAAGCTACAACTCACAAATTATAAAAGAAAATTGTTGCCACCCGTCATGAACAATATTCGGTGTATATCATCAGGCTTAGCACAAGTTACAAAGCTATCAAAAGCAAACAATGATTAGTTACAGGGGTTAAGTAGAACACATTCCGTCCAATTTGAACATATTCTTTTAGTCAAAATAAGTCAATGAGGTGAAGTTCAATTTCAGCTCTAGAACATGGTAGAGTTTGAGTAATCATTTGTAAACCCTTGGAAGGTAAAAAATATGCAGAAAACTTCAATTACCAGGCAAACAGGCACTTGAGCAAAAATCAATCAATGAGTCCATTATTTCAATACCAATTTTTCATTTCCCATGAAAACATTCCAATTTTTTTTAAGTCCTTAAAAGTTTTTATTCAGTAACCAACCAAACCAAACCAAGAAAAGAATGAATGAATGAACAAAAAAATTCACACCTGGCCAGCAGCTATTCTCAGCAGTGCTCTCCTAATCCTTGTATCACTCTGCTCAGAAATCTTCATCTGCACTCTCATCAACTCCCCAGTCGTCACCGCACGCTTGTTCCCACTGTTCTTCCTCAACGACGCCGTTTTCAGCCCCAGAGCCTTCTTCACCTTGCTCGCCGCCGTCGAAGTCAACGACCTGTTCAACGACGCCGCCGGCGCCGGAGACCGATCCCGATCCCCTCTCTCCGACTGTGATATGAACGTCAACGGCTTCGGCCCTGAACTCCGGCATGCTCCGACGAGGATCTCGTAGGCGGTTTCTCGGAGCTCCGATTCGGGTAAATTCGGACCCGGGTCTCCGAACGGAGAATGAAGGTCCTCAATTGGGTGAACGGGCATGGCGTTTTGCAGTGGCTGGTGCTTCTTGGAACCTCCAATTGCTCTGTCCCTGAAGCTTATGGACATTACTTGCTCGATGGAAAAAGCTCAAAGATTAACCGAATTGAAGATGACCCAGATAAGGAATTTGAGTGGTTTCGATGTGGGGTGGGGGCAAGTTTTGATCTTTTTTGCGTTTGTGAAAGTGGGAATTTGCTTTCTCTTCTCTCTCTCTCTCTCTCTCTCTCTCTCTCTGCTTGGGTTTCAGAGAAAAGTGTTGTTGTGAAGATTGGTCTTTGGATTATTCTTACTTGACTTTCAAGATAGCTGCGTGGTGGGGCAGAGGAGAAACCAAAAAAAATAAAAAATAAAATAAAAAAGAATGAAAATTGGAACTCACAGAGTGAAAGAGAGTCACAGTGCAGAGAGCGTTTTTTTGTTGTATAGAGAGAGAGAGGGTTTGAGTGTTTGAACTTTGAAGTTGAAGTGAGAGTTGAAGGTGCGCTGGTGTTTGGGGCAAAGGGTGGGGACAAGGAATCAGGGAATTAAAAATGCAACTTTTCGGTTGTGAATAAAAAAAAAATTAATTTCTGGATATAATAAGATAAGAATAAGAGTCAAGAGAGTCTTTCTGTTATTTTTATCTTTTTCTGTTGTATTTATCTTCTTCTCTAGGTTCCCACCGAATCTTATTACATACTAGGTTTCTGACACATGAGATTGTACGTTATTCAAACTATATTTGATGATTATCTGTGAATGTAAAAAATTTGTTCCAAGAGAACTATTTCCATGGTGATGTAAATATTTCCGTCTCGGATAAAATTGACTTTAGTAAAAAATATTTGTGATTTATAAAAAATATATATATATACTATTTAATAGGGTTTTATTTTAATTCACACTTATAATTTAGTAATATATTATGTAAATATACAATGGGCATTTTCATTTTCTTCGCAAGTACGTGTTAATAGGCCGAGCTTTGATATTAAAAGATTAAAATTGTGTTTAAATATATCAGTTTGACCTAATCGGTTACCTATTATGAATATAATTATTGGCATGTGGCCTGACTTATTTACAAAAAATAAAAATCTGCTTTAACCTGTTAAGAAAAAATAAGACAACAATCTAAATAAAATATACGATGAATAACACTAATAATTCGATAAAGATTCATAAGTTCAATGTATATCCAAATAACATAATATAAAATAAAATCATTCCAAAAGTTTGTTTGACCAATAAAATAGGAGTGAAATGGGTTGAAGAAAGAGAAAGAGATATTATGAGTAATATAAAAAATATAAATAAAAATAAAAGTTAGTATACGAGAGACTCTACGGCCGAACTTTTGAATTGGAGCCTAATGCATTTTCTTAAAATGAGTTTTTATACCAGTTCAAACTTGATTCCAACATTTTTAGATATATTAGCCCAAATCTTCACGAGTTAGGTCAAAGGTCCCCCTAATTCATTTACCACCTTTATTCGCAAGTGTAGAATGAATAAATAATAAATGTTACTTCTTTTATATCTTGTATTGTTAAATGTTCTTGTTACCCTATATCAAGATACATTTGATCTTTTACTGTCGTGGGTTATAAATCTCAAACAATTTGATTCCTCTCTCCTTTAAGGTAAGAGAAGTTTGGAATTGAAATTTTTTTCATGGAACTGGTGGAAGGCCACGCTGGAATACGTACAACCTGTTGAAACGAGATAATATTTATTGAGCTGTACAATTGTTGAAATTTTTATTATTGATTACAGTTACATAATCATAGAAGATTTGTATTAAATAAATTAAATTTTTTATTTGCATAATCATAAGAGATTTGTATTAAATAGATTAAATTTCTTATTTGAATAATCATAGGAGATTGACATAATCATAGGAGATTTGTATTAAGGGTTCGCTTTTTCTGCAGTTACTGCAGATAAGTTATCTGCAATAAGTCCAATACGATGTTATTTTGGGCAAAAATCATGATATTTTTGTAATTTTAATTTATTTCATAATTATAATAGTCTTTATAATTTTTTAAGATTTCAATACCAAAACGACGTCGTTTTGGGAATAAATGCAGATAACTTATCTGCATTAACTGCAGAAACATTTTTCCCTTGTATTAAATAGAAATAATAACAGATTATTTCATTTCCTTATTTATAGCTGATTGACAGCAAATTTGTAATGGATCTAGAGTACTCATTTATGTATATAATTATCCTAGTAGAGGAAGAATAAATATGTAAAAATATTCATGAGATGACACCATTGTTTTGACAGAACCCATTGAAAGAAAATATTTAATATGATTCCAGCCGATCACTTGATTCAGTGGTGATTTGGGCCAATTAAAATGAAATATATTTTGATATATGAGTATGGAAAAGAGAGAAAACAAATTTTTTTGTCCAAACATTTCACTCCCAATGAAAGAAACACCTGCTCATGGTGCACATATATAAGACGATCTCCCATGGAAGTTCCGAATCATGCAAATGCAGCTTTACGTGGGAGATCTGGTTGCACAGAAACTTACAAAGAAAAATAATAACATAAAGAATAAAAATAAAAATACAAGATATTTTCTACAATTAGTTTGGCTTATTTGAATCGTCCACGCCACTAATTCCCGTTCGTAAGAAGCACGAGAATTATATATATCATCTTCACAATAGTTGATTTCCTAAGATTTGTACTTATATTTTAGTCTATCATATTGATCACTTGCTATGGGTAAAATAATGTTTTTCATATTGAGAGTAGAACAGTAGCATCGTTAGCCACTTGGCACATCAATATATGTTCATATTGATGTCATGCTAGTTATTTCTTTTTCTTTTTGAAACGAAAAAAGAAATTAGTCAATTATTATTTGTGCAATAATATGTATTTCAGATGATATACGACATTATCATTGCGCACGATATATATAGAATAGTGCTTTTTATATATTTCCGCATGCAATACATATTTTTACATTGATACGAGGTAACTGAATCTGAGTGTACCTAAGCAAAGATTATACTTAGTTTGAATATAATCAGATAATAGATATTATGCAGATATATAACTTATAAGGAATTAATGTACATAAAAACATGTGAACCTAGGCAAACATTTAGCTATAAAGGTAATAAAGTGTAAATTGGATGGAAAACCCCTCTAAATGAGTTTATCTCTAAAGTGTGAAATACATTATATGAGTTTAATTTAATCTACAAAAATTTAATGGAAAATATATCTTTACTTATTCACTTTAAGAAATTTTTATTAAATTAAATATTTCACTTCATAATTTCTTATGTTGTTTTCCTAACCCAAATCAAGAGCACTTATAATTAGTTATTACTATACAAAAAGAAGTTGACCCTTAAAAATAGTAAAGGATAAAAATTTAAGCCACCAACAAAATAACAAAAGATGAAAAAGTGGCTTGGTTCTTTATATTATGGATATTTGTGGAAAATGAAAAGCCTGCAATGCTAATTCAAGGAACGAAAGAACAGGTAAAGAGTTTCAACTTAATTGGATTGGTTTAAATTAGCACTTCATACAAGAGTCGTGTATGATTTCAGCACTTCTCCTTTGATGGGCTTCTTCAAAAAACAAGAGTATGCAACGGACAGCAAAAATCTCGAACATGGTGACATGCACATAAGTTACTTTAATTCTTGTTTTGGTTTATGCATGTCATGTCCCACATCTTAATGATCGTGTTCAACCTTGCCTTTGGGAAAGAGAAATGATTGATGCTTAATTGAAATTAGTGTACTGAAATAAAGGGCAAAAACAAAAAAGTTCGCATGACTTTCAGATCTATCGATGTTAAAGTTTCAAGTTATTGAAAATAAATTTGTATTTGTCTTTTGTTATAAGATAAATAAATGAATTGATTAAGCTGTAAGTCTTGAGTTGAGAAAATTGGAGAAAGGGGCTTTACTATCTTTAATAATTATCAAATTGGTGGCATGATTGATTGAAAAGTGATCCCGTAGTATATTTTTAAAGCGAAATCAACACCAAATTTAAATACATATAATAAAACATTATGCTTTCATTTCATTTTTTTTTTTTTTTTTGCTATAAACTACAAGGAATTCCTGGTAGTTGGGTTGGTTATGTCATCAAAGGTGGCAGACACTTTTCATAAAGGTCTTCTTAATTAATCTATGCTTATTTTGATGTCCATACTCTGCACCTTGCAAGTTGCAACCAACCAACCAATCAACAAGATATTCATACAAAGACCTACCCGTGACCAAACATAAAGACCTTCTTAATTAAACTATGGCAATATTGATGGCCAAATTCTGCACCTTGCAATCAACCAACACACACAAGTAACTCTATCCATGCGATGCAAATATATTATGCACTATTTGTTCATGGTAAATTCTGCACCTTGCAATCAACCAACACACACAATTATAGGCTTGTCCTCCTAATTTTTACTACTAATCAAGAATAACTAAATAAAAATAATATTGATAAATGTGAGATATTAGATTAAATTAAAATATAAAAAAAATGAGTACAAAGTTCACTTTAGTTAAAAAAAATAATATTTAAAAAGTGTTTGAAGAACAATGATGTTTTCAATAAATTTATAAATTATAGGTTTTGGCGAGCTATTCTTCCCAAAAGAAGAAAATATTACGAAATAAATGTTAAAAGGTAAGACAATTGACTTTTATTTTTAACTTGAAATAATTGCTTACCATTAACATTGGAAATTCTAATTTAAAGGTATAACCGAATCAAAAAAATCATATCAATATTATTAATCAACATAAAGTAATAATAGAATATAAATTTTTTTATATATAATAAATAATTATTTTAACTATCTATTAAATTTTTAATTACTAGATTGATTATAATATTCGACGTCAATATTTAATAAATCTTACACTTAATACTTGCAGCGATAAAAGAAAGGAAAAATTTATTTAAGAAAAATACATTCAAAATTTAATAAATATTTAATTATCAAAACTATAACTTTTTAAAGAAAAATGAAAGCCAATAAAATATTGTTTGGCTTGGTTCTCTTATTATATATTATTCAAAGAAGGACGGTTATAATTCCTATTTATTTAATCTTTCTACTCTTATTACATTTTTATTATTGTTTGATTAAATTTAAATCAATAATCTTAGATATAATAAATTTTTTATTTTGCTTCTTGTTTTTCTCAACTAATTACACCTCTTATTTCTCTCTTTCAACCATTGATTTAAATACAATCTAATAGTGGTAAAAAGATAATAAGGGTTAGAAGATTAAATAGGTAGATAATATCAATGTTGTCAAAATTGAGTTTTTACATATAAACGAAAGGGAGTGGTAGAAATATAAATAGTAGAAAATTTCTACGGTCAAGATACAAAGTTATATATATATATATATATATATATATATATATATATGCATGTAAAAAATCACA